AGGGTATCTGAAGCAAAACATCAAGAAAACTAATCAAACTCTTGAAAAGGATGCCCAGCAATACTGTGGGATTTCGACCCTTTGAAGTTTTTAAACAAGGGCTAGACAAAGGGGGGGAGATCAATACCAAAAGCTCTGTGCAGCCTAGATGGGAAACTTCATAAAATCTTTACATGTATCTCAGATTAATCTTATATTGTTTATTCCCTATAAATTCTCCTAATATAGATTTTTTAACATTATTGTTTCTATATTTGCAAAGGATTTTGCAATGCCCCTCTACACTGAAAAGCCCTTGAATAAAATAAATGAAATATTTTCAGGAAAATCAGGAATTCCACAAGCTCCTTACACAGTCTATTCCTTGCATCCAAGCTTTTTCTTAACTTAGATCTTCCTCACAGCAAATTAAGATGATTATTTTTAATCCTGCCCTTTGGAGTGATGGAGAATGAGTTATCATTATCTTTTGTCCTTACAAACCTTCATATATTTGAAGACTTTTGTTTCTACCTAATCTTCTCCCTTCTACACTAAACAAGCCCAATACTTCAACACTTCTTCACAGGTCACACTGCTGAAACTCTCCTAATCTGTAATTTAATCCACCAGACTATCACCAATTTACCCACATTCTCCTAAAGGATTGTAATCCCAAACTGGATGTGGTTTTCATACTATGGCCTCAACAATGCTTAGCTGGGCAAAAGATGCAAGAGAATTATTTTTCATCTAGAATAGCCCAGTCATTTTGGAACAGCCCATATCAACATTTGTCTTTTTATCGCTGTTTACAACAAACCACTTTCAGTTTACATTCAGCTACAATCCCCAAATTGTTTGTTGCTTTTTTTTTTTTATAGTAGTTTGTTGATGAAAACTGAGACGAGTATTATTTCCAGAAGTCTAAAATCCATCAATATTTATAAAAGCACTCTAAAATCTATACTGGGAAAAGCAAAGTATTTCTTAGTAGTGTATAAATATTGTTATAGCTATAAATATACCTGTACTCTCAAATGCTTTCAAGCCTGTTTATTTTTGACCCTTTTGCAATTAAAAACTTGACTAGAGAGACAGTGGGGAAGACAAGAGAGACTTGGGGGAATGCTGCTCCTTTGCGTACATCACAAGCAGTACAAAAGTCTGCATTTCCAAAGGGGTACGTCACTGGTCCCGGGCTGACTGCTGTTGTTTAGGAAACAAGAAAACATGCTGTAAAAAGCAATAAAAATAGAAAGCAGCTGTGCTGCTCTTCTGCCGTGCTCTGGCTCTTTTCATACTCTGTATACAGCCACAAAGTGGATCCTGTCCAGGCTTCTCTGCCTGCCCAGGGCGCGTGAGGCAGCCCCCCACCCATAGCATCACCCTGTCCAACAACGCGGGCTCCCAGGGCCAGGGCTCCAGCAGAAGCCGCCAGCTCAGAGCAAGGCTCTTTGCCCTCCCATGCCATTTCTAGCTGATCTTCTTCTGCTGCAAATTTACCATTTCTTTAGGGGCAGCCACTGACCTGGCAGCCCAACTCAGCGTAGTCCCCAGGACCGGCTTTCTCTGGCCAGTGGCTCCACCAGCTAATGGGGGTCAGGGTCAGCAATGGGCAACGTCGGTGTCTCCTGCTTGTTGCCTCCCTGGAAGCTCTACATGGCAAGAAAGGCCATTGCTAAGCAATGGGAGGGGAAAAAGAAGGGTTGGAGATGGTCTGGAAAGCAGACCGGTGCATGAGGAAGACGGAGGGGCTGAGCAGGACGGTATGAGTTGGCACAGTTGCAGTTAGGTAGGGTAAGACTAGGAAAATAACTCCAGTTTTCCAGGACATTTTAGAATACTGCTGCATGGACACGTGTAGGAAATTTTGTCTTATTCATATGTGTGTGCAAGTGCCTGAAAAGACTCCTGTGTGCCCAGGGGGACAACTTAGCCTAGGAGCATCATGGAAAGCCGGCTGAAGCCAGCAGAGGTTAAGCTCCAAGCCACAACATGGAGCAAAGCAGGGACCAAGGACCTTCCCGCGCTGGCAGCAGGGCTGCCGTCCCACACAAACCCCGCCAGACCTGCACCTCGGTGTGATGCACTGCCAATGTGCCCAGACATGGCAGAGTGTTGAAACGCCACGACAAAAGAAGAGCAAGGGGGAAAGAAGGTGTATCTGCCTACCTTTGATACCAATCTCTCTCATCCAGGACTACTGCTAATATATCCTAAGAATGGAGACAGCTACCAGAGCCATCATCCAAAGGAAAAAAAAAAAATGCCCCAAAAAATTCTGTTTTCTATTAAATATAACAGTTCCTTCCCAAAAATGCAATTCAGGGAACTTTAATATTCTCTTTCAGGGAATTGTAAGTAGCACCACAAAAAAAATTGTCTCTCATTTTTCTGGAAATATGGTTGTCTTCATAATGCAAAATTGTCTAAGTTTGTGACATAAAACCATGTCCTTTATAACCACTCCTATTATTCCCCACACAATCAATATAATCATTATATTGATATCCCCATATCAATATAATGTAACTGCACATCACTGCAACGTTATCTGGCTCCTGCCCGAGGACTATCTCACAATTACCCTTATAAACACCTGTTTTGAAATTACAGAGCTAAGGAGCTCCAGGTTTTAGAGAAAGGAATTGTAGCAATGCTTGCCTTCGGCGGACTACTTTGATTAATCCAACCTTACATGTTCATAGTTTCCAAGAAAAAAGGCTACATGCAAGAGGGCTGGGGGAAAGGTGGGTGATGTGGAACAAAGAGCACATTTTCAGGAGCTTTGAAAGCTGGTGCGGCTTACTGAGATCAATGACATGTCATCCCAGAGGAGCACTGAAAAAAGCCTTTGTAGTTCTGCTCCCCTTCTGTCTGTCTGTATTTTGTATTTCTAAGCAGGCAGTTTGCAGCTAGTGTGCACTGTGCATGTGTTTGAGCACACACAGCATCCATGTAACACAATTTTAGAGATTACAGACAAATAAAGTACTGTGCAAAGCTGGGTGGTACAAATAAATACATATTTAAATTAGAAGTTAACACAGAGAGAAAGAGTTGAGACAGGAGATGGAGAAAATGTTCCTATGATCTAATCAATAAAACGTCAATCTAGCAGATATTAAAATGGTCTCTAGGCCACAGAGAGCAGCGTGTTGTCATTTTGACTAACGCATCTCAAACACAAAGCAGTGGGAAGTACCGTAAATAACAGATTTTAAAAAACAGTCCCCAAGAACAACAAAAACTCTAGCTAAAAATAATACATCTGAATCAGGTTTAAATTGGTTTTCACAAAATAGCCTGATGCATGTAACACAGCAGACAACATCAGCGCCTCAAAAAAGAGCTTAATACAGGAGGCAGTACAGAAGCAGATTGAGTGAAAAAGATTTTCTAAGCTGCTGAATTTATAAAAAGGTAAATACCATTACAGGGAAAGGTTCAAGACAAGGAGGAAAAAAAAAAAAGATAAGCTTTTCCTCCTCCTACAAGCGAGGGGCAGTGAAGTTTTTAGGACTCAGCTTGATATTTCAATAAATAATTATGTTTTTCCAACTGAACAACCAGCTAGACACGGCAAACTGTAATTAACACCAGGAAGCATAATACCATTTGGCATGCTTACACCTTGTTTCTGAACAGGAGGCTGCAAGAACCCCTTAAAAGCTATTCAAAGAAACTTATAATTATAATTATGTGCTAGCGTGATTAGGCTCTTCTAATAATGTCATGCCTATTGAGCACACTCTATTGAAAAGCCCACATAAAAATGCACAGTTCCAGTGATCTGTATGCTTATGTCAGAAGCCCTCATTTGGAGATCTGAGAAATGAAAGAACATTACTATGGAGATTAAGGAATTCGGTTTAGCACTGTAAAATAATATTATGATCGAATAATATTAGCACCAACTATTAATAAATGTGCCAGCATTTCCCATTAGAAGACACCATATGCGGTTGCTTATAGCTATGCCAAAATTTTTAAGCTGTGGGAGTGAATCTCATGTTAAAAAGTTCTTTGAATACTTTAAGGTTTTGGTGACCTGGAGCAGAACTTTGACTATAGGCAATAAAGAGGGCAACAAATATACATTTTTGACTGTGTAGGAAAAGTCAGACCAGCATTAATAAGGTTATAGAGCAATCTGATTATGCATGCAATTCTAGAGGTGCTAAATATTTTTGTTATTATTACAAATAGCTGTTCCAATAGAAACTCTCTTTTCTTCATCTTTATTGGAGGAAACAAAGATATCATCTTTGTATTTCTAAGCAGGCAGTTTGCAGCTAGTGTGCACTGTGCATGCATTTGAGCACACACAGCATCCATGTAACACAATTTTAGAGATTACAGATTTTACAACTTTATGTAAAACAAGCCATAAAAGTGCTCCCAGTCCAATTGCATTGGTAACTAGCTCTCATTCATTTTAATTTAGAATGTCTGAAGAGTACAAGTAAGAAATGAAGATGCCTGCTATCTTAGGCCAATTAATCCTTGTACTTGAGAATGTATTCTCAAGAGTTAAGCATAGTGGTGTGATTCCTGGGGACCCATGACTATATATGGGCATGTAGCTTATAGAAGGTGAACAGCATCTGGCTGTTGTAACGCAAGCAAGAAACCTTTGCAGGTGCTGAAGTCTGTAATCATCTAGCAGAAATGTATGGCAGCTGCTGTTTGAATGCTTGGGTTACTGAGCAATTTTTGTAGATAATCATGTCTTCTCACACAGCCTGGATGAGTTTTCAGAACATGGGACAAGTCAGACAAAAGAGCCTTCTTTGTGCCATTCAGCCTCCCTTTCCCTCTCAAAAAACCTTGCGCCTCATTTCACAATCACTCACCTCCAGATGTACCAATTATTATTTCTGGAGTCAAAGTAGAATTTACCACCCCCACACGGAAAAAACCCTCAGGGCTGCAAAAACCTTCAGACAAAGCAAGGAGGGATATACAATGCTGTTTTAAGAGGAAAAGAAATTAATGTCCATAAAGCAAAGCATTACCATTCTCTTCATCTCCTTGGAGACCTGGTGAGCTCCAAGGTGGTTATAAAAGGGCCGGTCAACACCCCAGTGTGGCGGGTTATGGCTGATGGAATTAGCGCGCTGACGGTTCATCTTGGCTATTGTGGCTTTCTCGTCTTTCTGAAATACAAACGAGAGAGAAATGAAGAATAAATTTTGAAACGTTTACATGGCAGTCATTCTCCAAGCATCTCTCACTTCTGATCTCTCACTCCAGAAGTTGGCTTTGCGCCTTGAACTTTATGAAGTGGCCGCTGATCAGAAGCAGTCCCAGTCCACCATTTCCTTTTCTTCTCGTTTTTTATAATACTTGTCCCTAAGTGGTGCCCACCATTTTACTGCTTTGCTTGTCTTGAATAACCACCGTAACCTGTGCAAACACAGGCAGCATTCCAAAATGGAGACATCTATTTTCTTTTTTAGTAAAGTGAATCAAACTGAATAATTTCAGATAGGAAATTGCAGTTCCAGGCTGAGATACTACACAGAGGGTCCTCAAAAAAAAAAAAAAAAAAAACTGGCGCATCTGCAGGAGAAATGACACACAGAGCGATCTGGTTGAAGAACAGGAGCCCTGAAGCTCCTTGAAGCTATGGGAATAAAGGACACCTTCATCTGTAGGTACAAGCAAATCATTTTCCACACTTGCAAGAGCATCTTCCGAGACATGCTAAGGAAAGCATGTAAACCTTGTAAATACCTTAACTGTGTATCTGTTAAGTATAATGGTATTGCAGTGTGATAAATTGGTATCCTCTACCCTAAGGCTAGCTGCAAATTTCATCACTGACACTAACTTTCCTGAAGTTTGGACAAAGTCTTTGGTTTTGGTATTAGAGCTGGTTTTGAATCTTGGATGTAACTGGAGCTTACTTCAAAGTTTGCACAGGTTCTGTTGGAAAGGTTTCGTTCAAGCTCAGTGCCAGTTACAAGAGCACAGCAGTGCAGCATGCAGCTAGGCTAAACAACAGGCTGGTTCGCTCCTTATTTTGAATATATTCTCTAGCTAAAAGGACAGGCAGGTTTCCATGTGGAACGTGTTCTGCAGAGGCAGGAGTTTATTGCATGAGAGCAAACCCTTTAATCTTTTCTGGCAAGGAATGCACCGGAGACTTGCTCAGTGAGGACTGTGCGATTTACCTGTACTGACTCAGAAGGCAGAGGGGTGGCAATTATTTCATCCTTGCTTAAAAGAGGAAAACTCTGGAGCGCTTGAAAATTTGGACAGTAAGGATAGCTACAACTTGGCTGTTTATTACTTGAGACTTTAAACTTTTTCAAGAGAATTGCTGCTTCCATGAGATTACTGAAAAAATTAGACATAACAGTTAATTTTGGATTTCAGGTGTTCAGACAACTGAATAATTTAAAAAGAAAGTATCAGTTGTTTTAAACTCTAGAATTTTGTTTCAAGTGTTGTATGAAAATACAG